TATTATTGAATATTGGCCTACAATTTGAAAGGCGTCTAAAATCGCATTTATTAAGATTTTCAATAGTGTTGTTGCAATCAATTTGTTTGATGCACTTGTGTTGAAAATTTCAATTTTAGATGAGATTTTCTTCACATAATGTAATACAAGATATACTACTTATAAATAAAAAAGAGAGAAAATACTATTGAATCGACAAATTTATATGAGCTCAGAGAGTGAGGCATAAAATAAAAGCCAACGAATCCTGAGATTTGCAATATATTCAGAATATCTAATAAATTGTTTCCATCTCTTTCTGTTAGGTCTCCTCTCCTTTCATATAGAAGTTGCTATAAGTTGTGCCACGACTTCAACCATATTATCAAATGCAGCGAAAATTTCATTTCAACAGAGAAGTGAAACACAAAAAGCTGTAATTCATTGCATTTACTTCTATTGGATATACAGTGCAATTCTGTACAGTAGTACTGATTGTGTATCGGTGTATATTTTCTGTACGATTCTGTACGCTATTCTGTGCCATATTCTGTACGGTATATACCTGTGAATAAAGCAGCGCTCTTTCTATCTCTTTAAAATGATTTGCTATGGCTTTGACTTAATGTGGGAAAAATCAATAAAGAATATCATTTTGTGAAACACATTGTTTATGAGATGAATACAAATAAATAAGAGACAAATTATTTTTATTATTATTACACAATCCGAGAAAATGTTAGACAAAATTAATTCAAGTCATTCACATCTAACATGACTTAGTTTGTACTGTATTTGTCTCATAATTAATAAATTACAGAATTTAAAAATAATTGTGAGAGTAATGAGAAAAATGAGATAAATTGTAAAGAATAATAGATATATTTTTCTAGTGAGGTAATAGAAAAGTAAAAATTTAGAAATATTAAAATTTTTATTTTTCCAATTAATACAAAATATAATAACAACTAATTTTGTCAAAACACTCAACATTTCAGTTAGAAAAATGATTATATGTAAGAATAGTTTATTTTTAGGAGACAATTGATGTGTTTTAATTAATTTTCATTAATACCATTTGAGAACCGGTAGGCCTTAACAACCAGTTGTTATCCGAGCCGAAAGACTGACAGCTCTTAATTACTCTCAATGTTTCGCTACAAATGAGTCTTTAAAATATTCAAATGTAAAAGACATGAGAATTCACTCAAAAACCTTTAGAGTATATGTTATGTTCATTCAAACCGTTGTTATATAACATTGTGAGCACAGGAGCTAACCATTCAGTGCTTAACTCCTAATAAGAATCCAAATTTGATTTTTTTTATTCTTCACTCAAACTTGTGATTAAATTCTTGAGAAAACACAAGAAAAATGTTTTCGGAAAAAAATTAAAAAAGTGTTTTGTGTTTAAGTAAAACATTGTCTTTAATTTAAATGCAATTATTTGTCAAATTCTCAGTTGACTTCTAATGCGGTTCTAATTTAAATTGTTTTCCATTAAGTATTAGTTGTTTGGGAAATGTATGAAAAATATTATTTTTAGGAAAAATTTACTACTTTCTCGAGATTTAAAAACTAAAGCTTTAATTATTACTTCCTTTAACTTATAAGTCAAGAATCCCTTTCTTTTTTGAAGTAAAGGAATTATTGAGTTGGCTTTGTGGTTTTGTAAAAGATTCTGTTCTGTCTCTTTATCTTTCTGTTCATAATTCAGATTCTTATTAAACAGAAAAAACAACAATTTAAAAGAATATTAAATCCCTTTTTTCTAGTAATTCCGTGTATTAATAAAAACAAATATATATTACTGTTATATATTATTTACAAAAATCTAGAGATTAAAATAAAGGCCAATATTTATTTTAGAAAAATATTTTTCGAAATTTTAATTAGTTTTTGAATATTAAACGCAAGGAATAATGAGAACATTTAAATGAAAGAATAATAACATGTATTAATACATGTATTTCTATAAAATGACACTCAATTCTACTACAAGAAGAAGTAATTTCATAGATATAATCCATTTGTAGTCTATTTTAAGCTACTGTTAAAAAGGTGAAGAAACAGTGTTATAGTGTTTAGACAATACCTGATCGTAAGGATTAGCATCGAGTGCTTCATTGCATACTTCAATGCATTTCTCAAACTTTCGTCGTCTGAACAGATTTATAGCGAAGAATAATGGATCCAATCTTTCCATTGCCTTTCATATGATCTTTAACTCGTGTTTGTCTTCAATATAGAGGCCGTTATAACAGTGTTTGTTATGTTTTTCTGTTCGGTTGGTCTCTCTATGGCAACAAATCGATCACAAAGAATATTACATAACATTTTCCGAACTCTATTTATATCATATGCCGTATAAAGCGTTGCATTTTTAAGCCGTTCAGTGAATAAGATAACAATTTTCAATTTTTTTTGTTCATAATTTAATGCTTTTTATTGAATTAAAAGTTTTATATATATTTGTTAACATTTAATTAAAATAACATTTTTATAGCATTCAGTGTTGTTGTGGAAAAATCGCATCAAACTTGTTGTTAGCATTCGGTGTGTCATTAATATAGACTTTTTAATGTAGTTTTAGATAAAACTGCACATTAATTATATAAAGAGAAGAGATATAGTTTTTTGTGCATAATTAGGTGCATAACAATTGCAACAATAGTCAATAGACAACTCATTTTTCAGTTTAGAAATTTTATTTAAACAAAAATATTCAGTCAATGATAATAATTATTGTAATAATTTTAATAATAATTATATTGCTGTCGATTGAACTCAAGAATTAAATGCATACCGAAATAAACATTGTTTTACAATAGTATTGATTGTCAAACTAGTGATACAGTATTTTGACTAAGAATTTGTTTTAAAAATTGAAAAATAAAATCTCAAAAATATAATTCGTAAACTTATGGGTAAATAAAAAAAACAAAACCGAAATACGGAATGAGTGTTATATTTATAATATCTATATAAGAGGCAAATCGTGTGGAGGCAAAGGCACCAGAGATGTGTGTGTTTTGTATTTTTCAATTCATTTTTTTATCTTATAAATTATTTTTAATTTAATTTATTTATATCTAATAAGTTTTCATTAAAAACAAAAATAAAGGATTTATGAAAATTAAATGATTAGAAATGAAATAATAGTATTAATTAAAAAACAAATGATAAATAACTCATCAATGTCCTAATACAATGATTCGTATTATTAAGGAATGTAAATATCGTTTCAGTGAAACTACTGTTTTGATGAACGGGTGTTAAGATATCTTCAAACAAAAATACCGATTAATTATAATCCAAATAAGAATCAATTCATTTCTCATATATAATTATATTTATAAATAATTAAAAATTATTTGAATATAGTTTTAACGCCCATTCATTTACAATTTAACTCTTATTTACAAATTAAGAGTTAAATTCAATGATAAATATATATATATATTAATTAATTGGAAGTACGGCTGCTCTTCATTCTGCCTGGAGTTTAAGCATTCGCTTATTACGAGTCAAACCTTCATTATTGTGAAGATTTATTATTATTATAATATTATTTCCATTTAAAATATGTGCAAAAATGATAACAATTTATTTTTTGTTTTGTTTTTTGTAGTATTTTTTGTATATAATTTAGTGATTCGTAAAATATTTTAATTGGTTAAGAGTTTCCATTTAAAATTCATTTCATAAAAGAGTGAAGTCTATTAATCTATTAGAAAAGTATTGAGATTTAAGACAACAAATTGCACATCAATTGAATTGAATTTAAGTTCAAAAACCTTTTGTTTTTTTTCGTAAAATGTCAACAATTTTTTTGTTTTGTTGTTTGATATGAGTTTCCAGAATAGGAGACAACTTTTTTTCATAAAAACAAATTAATTTAAAATACGAGATAACAAAGGGATAAAAAATTTGATGAAACGATTGAAATATATTTGGTTTTGAGAGAAATGACTGATGACTTAGAGATGAGCGAAACAAATGAAATTTTTTGAGGCACGAGTCGAGTCGAAGTCGAAATAAACTAATATAAAGTCCAATTAAACAGCTGTTTCTCTATCCTTCTTCTTCTGGAAGATTTCAAAGTCTGTCAACAAAATTAAGACAAAAGTTAATACAATGAGAGGATAGGAATGAATAGCGAAAAAAAGGCGAAAAATCATGTTTGAGTTCAAAAATTGCTTTTCAACTGTGTTTTTGAAATAAACACATAACGACATCGAAATGAATGGGATTTCGAGTTGAAAATAATTGTTGCGAAATAAAAGCTAAGAATTTCTAAGCCTTTGACTATAACTAAAGGAGAAGTGATTTGTTTTGTTAAGTAATAAAACTTACGCTCGAGAAAAGCCGCTAAATCCTTATCGCCTGCTTTAGCCGCTAATTGCTTTGCAGTTAATCCCTGTTTGTCACCCCTCGACAGAGAGGCTCCATATGAGGCCAACATTGTGCAGATGCCGTGTTGTCGGTGTTTGGCCGCCATATGAAGGGCCGTATGACCGCTCTCTAACTCCACGTATTCAATCAGATCTGACGGCGCGGCCGACAGCAGGAAACTCACGATATTTTCGTGACCGAGACGTGAGGCGTGATGGAGGGCTGACATGCCTTTAATCGTATAACAAAATAACACATTTTGTTAATATTTTCAGTTTACATTTATATTACATGGAATATGAACTGCAATGGGTTTTAAAGGTAATCATATACCGTAAAGTAGTTTAAGAGTAAAGTATTCAAGGAAATGATAAATGATGGCACAACTTGAATGGTCTCTTAAATAGGAATTTTATTTTCTTATAAAAATAGATAAATTCTAAAAAAATGTCATAAAATTTTTATAAATTGTAAAAATAGATTATAAAATTAAAAAATGAGTACTTCTTTAAAATAGTATTCCCGTTAAAAAAGTGGATTCTTTCTACCGTAATATAAGAAACAAACATCTCCTGCACTGACATATCATTATTCAGAAAATCAATTGCATTAATGTTTGCAAACACTCAGAAAATGAATGAAGAATTCTCTTCTTTCGCTAATGATTTTGCTCTCAATTTTTTGGGCATTAATTTGATTTTAAAAATTCATTCGTAATTTCCATTCAATCAATTAAAACAAACACTCCATAGAGTAGCTCTCGAGAGAAAAAAAAGTTAATTAAAAGTTTCATTACCTTTCTTATCGACAGATAATAAACTGATCCCTTTGTGATGTAATTGTTTAAGTAATGAGAGGTCTGCCTGTTTGACGGCGTAGAACACCTCCTCCTGCGAGAAGTCTTTGGGAACGTTAGGAATGGGATTGTCTTTAATGAGTGGTCGATGCAAAGAAGTGGTGGGACTTTCATCAGTGGATGACTGGTTGGATATATTGTTACACTGGGGTTGGATTGTGATGAAAGCCGACTCCGATGTGGCCTCAAAGAAGTCGATGTCTTCCTTGTCGTCGTTGTCCGTCTGACTCTCCGGATCCAGAATATAGAGATCATCGGTGCAGATGTCGACCACAAAGTGGAGATCTTCCTGAGCCCTATCGATGCGAAAGAAGCGCTCGGCTGTACACGCTATCAGTGGTGATCGGGTGAGACATGAGAATCACATTCACTGTTAATCAGTAGTGATATATGAAGACAGCGAATACTTACAGTCGACGAAACACCAGTCATGTGATGAGACAAACTTTGTGGTGACACAGCTATTATCAGCGCCGGATTGTACGCTACTATAGCTCTTATCCCGCATTAAATCATTGATTTTGGCCCTCACGTGAACCAACTCCAGGTTCTGATCGATACATAGCGTACCCACTAATAGCGCTGTTATACACATAGTATTTGAAAGCATATAAACATATGAATTAGTTATAGTTATAGGAAAAACGTTATAAACACTGTATATGTTATACAGAATATGAAACAAATGATAAATATTTAATCTAATATTCATACATAACTGCACTATAATATCATATCATTTGAGAAAAAGGCATAACATTTGCATAAAAATAGTTGTAATGTTTTAAGATTCACTCACAGACTTCTTTAAGCTTATGCTTATCGTAATGATAGGTCTCGTAATCATTTAAATTCAATTTTCGCACTTTTATTGTCAACTTTTCGAGTGTCGGTCTAAACGAGAAGAAAGTGGTATAAAAGAAAAGATGAATCGATATATTGAATATAAAATATAACACTATATATACGATACTAATTGTGTAAATAGTTTGGTGTTTGGATGACTTACACGTGAATTGTTTGGTTATGACTCTTGGCTTTGGCGATAAGATTTGCCTGATTTCTGAGTTCTAATGTTATGATAGATGGTAAGAGACGACAGGGCTCTCCATCCACTTGCATAGGTATAGTACGAGTGGTGATAATCTTAGCGCTCCTGCATTGAGCGATACACGTTCCGTGTCCTCCCGCTTGCAATAATGGCTATTCAATTGTGAGATACGAGTGCAACATAAATACATTATACAGTTATTTATATTAACATATTATGAGTCGATCATTGGATGCCGTCGACCATCACTACTCATCCATCTCTTATAATGCGATCCTTTAATGCAATCGCGAGAAAACTCAACACTTTTTCTTACGAAATGAGTTGATATATGATGTAAAGCTAAATATGGATATAAGTGCTCACCAACTGATATGTTGTCAAACCGATCACTTCGATAAGTCCATCGTCTGTACGCGGAGTCTCATAACAGGGAGAGCTGGAGCCCCAGGGCCGGGTCCCACCCCCGTAGCTAGAAGTGATCGATTAATGCAAACATCAAAAACTCTAATAAATATGGAATTACTAACAAAATAAATATCTAAAGATTTATTTGTCTCGTATGTTGTAATGCATTATTTGTATTGATTTTTGGGTTTAGTATTACATCTATTGTTAACCATATATAGGAATACAAACCGAACGCATATATAAAAAGTGTTACGAATTTATTATAAAGAGTGAGAGAAAAAAAGTAAATCGATTTATAGATAAGGAATGCAAACCTCGGAATATTGAGGAATAAGACTGAATGGACTTTATGTTCTTTGAGTCTTGACGTGAGATCAATGTCATCGCATTCCAGAGTTATGTAATTACATAAGTCTTTCCATTTGCGTTGGAGGAGGTCTTTGCCGCCCGCCTGTCCGTAAAACATCTTATTCCTGAGCCGAGAGTTGAAGCGTTCGGGATGTGCCTCTCGGGCCTCATGAAAGGACAGGGCTATGTGTGCGTCCACTCCTATCGAGAAGTAATTGTTGACAACATTGAGGGGCAGCTCCTGTTTGGCGCCCTCATCCTCTTTGATGGCGTTTTGTTCTGTCGGCGATATATTGTTATTGCGCTCAACCTTTAAGTTCCAGCGGTCGAGTTGTACGACTTCGCCGTCTTTGATGTTCAACAGTATCTTAGAGACGGGTTCGTCGGTATAGCTTCCGCCCCAACCCAGAGCTCGAGCCAAATCATTGCCCGTCCCTAAGGGTAGCACTGATAGCGGCGGCGGAGGATATATTGCTATTTCGTCCAACACTGATAACACCCAACCGGCAGTTCCGTCGCCACCGCAGGCGAGTATACGAAGATTATTCACTTTCTTATACAACTCTAATCCCAGTTTAGGGCCTCCCTGTGAGAGATCAAACACTTGGCGCGGGTTTAGAAGCCATTGAAACTTTTGCATCAGTTTTGAGCCCTGATTTCCACCGCTTTTGGGATTAATAAACACTAGTAAAGGCTTAGAGCTCGACGAGGGAATCGGTTTAATGGCAAAACTCCGGTGCTGTGCACCAAACTCTTTGGTTGGCGGCGGCGATGAGCCGTGAAGTGCGTGCAGCTGATGGTGCAGATGATTGTCGACCGTTACCACAGCCGACGACTCATCCTTTTTGGTCCGTTTCTTGGAAGACGCCCTCTTTGTCTTCGGCGACCGTCTTATAGACGACTTGAATGAACCCTAAAGTTATCGTCAGTTTTGAGTGAAATTTTAATTATATTTTTTGCGGAAAGTATTTGAGAAACTTGTAAACAATTCAAAGGGAAAATAAAAGTGATTTCCAGAAAAATGAATGTCTTTTTAAGCGGAAATTAATTTTTCTTTTAGGGAATAGAAAACTAATGATAAGAAGAGGCAAAAAAGAGGATACAATACCCGTCGCGGAAGTTTGACAATCCAAGTGGGAGGGACTATGAGGTCCTGATTGATTCCTAGCGGGCAATTCTCTCCTATCCTCTGTATATTAAAGCAATTCTCCTTATTATGGAAAGCAGTTTTACACCACGAGCACGATATGGCCACTATCTCCTGCTTAACCATCGATACAAAGCATTATTTTGGTTAGAGTTATGTATTTTGTAAATTAAATGCCATTTTTAATGCTAATTAAATGTGTTATTCATTTACTTTGTTGCCAAACGAGAGTTTCGATTGAAACGATTTGCCGCATTGTCTGCACCGACCCTTTTGGTGTCTCCTATGCACCCAATGGTGATGTATAACCGTTTGCTGCAAATCGATTGGAAACATCAGTTTGTGTTTTGCAATACATGTATTCAATGATAAAGATATGTTATCTTTTTCTCCGATACTATACTATGCCTTCAATTATATGATAACTTTTTCACACTTTTTGACAATTAAGGTTAAAACAAAAAATGATAACTAAAAACGATTATTATTAATAACATTGAGAGAGTGAGACACAGAACTGTTGAGATAACAGGCAATCTATCATATGATAAGAAGTGAAGACACGAAAACATACCTCTCTATACTGACGAACGCCAACATCTTTGAACGTAGGCTTACAGTGGAAACGGATCTTATCGATCAAAATGCTTATACATCCGGTGTGTGCCGTTATCTTACAGGCGGGACAACATAGTCGGGGCCCTTGTTTCTGTCAAAACCGTATCAAAATCACTATTATTTCTATCAAAATCACTTTTCTAATGCATAACTATGTAAACAAATAAGAATACTCGAGAGCGAGAGCGAGAGAGAGAGAGAGATCAAGATATCGACCGAAAGTGGAGATAAGATAACGGCACACACCGGATGTATAAGCATTTTGATCGATAAGATCCGTTTCCACTGTAAGCCTACGTTCAAAGATGTTGGCGTTCGTCAGTATAGAGAGAGAGAGAGAGAGAGAGAGAGAGATAATAAAATGAAAAATGTATTCATTTATCAAATGATTGAAAACTGTGTCTAAAAATACATTTTATTTATTATTCTTATATTAGTTTCAAAAGCGATTCTGAGCCCAGAATTTGAATATAAAAGTCATTATTTGCTTAACAAAACAATTGAAAAAAATCGCACACAAAATGTAAAAATGTTTATTTAATTGTTTGTCATTAAAAGCAATTCTAAAATAATATCACATATAATGCGATCGTTTGATGAAAGAGTAAAAACATTTCAAAACAAAATTTATATATAACTACATCTAAAGCACAGCATTTGGTGGCGAAAAAAATCAATAAAAGTGTGCATAAAAACTAAAACTGATGTTTGGATTGAAACAGAAAAATACATTTTCATATTTCATACGCTTTTTGCGTTCATATTTTGCAGGAAAAGAGAGAAAATTGAGATCAAAATGTAATTCAAATATATTTTTATGCAAATTAATCGACAAATCAATAGTAATGTATATAAAAAAAGTGAGTCAAACGTACGGAACAGTCGTTTTCGCCGACATAACAGATATCTCCCGAAGCGTTGGTCGACACCCATAAGTGGTCAGCATTTATGGCCGATTCCTGATTGCATACATCAATCAATTACCGCATTATAATAACCATTAATACCACTCATTACACCATTTATACGGACACATCTGTCAGTCACCAAATTGTAATCAATGTAAGACATAATGTCAACCGTCTGGTGATTGACTGATCCATCGGCTAATCACTACTACGTATACATACACTGTGTATACTGTATAGCGATAACAAACACATGGATAGGTCGGTCACTATCACTATTGAGTGGCCATTATTGAAACGGTATGTCCGCATAAAAGGTGTGTTTTAGTGGTGCTTCACTACCTGTGAATGGGGGGTTAGCCCTCGTGAGGACTCTCATGCCCAAAGAGGTGAAAGCCAGCTATAGAACTAGAGAGGGACTTAACGAAAGGACAGCTGGTTTGTTTTGTATACTAATATTATAGTGACAAAAACACAAATACAATATCATATAAAACACAATTCAAGTCAAACATTGAGCGCAAGAGAAAGAAAGTCATAAAAAACGAAATGAATTGAAAATTAAATAATTAAATCAAATGAAATGATAATGAATTGAAAATAACTTTTTCCTCTGTTTTTTGAAATAAAAATATTTTAAATCTATTATAAAATAGATTTTATTTTTAAAGCACATTATTATAAGACATTTTGGTGTCTAAAACGGTGTATTCACTGGTATTTTGTATATAACATAACAAATATATGAAACACTTGTGTCGATAACATCGTTAACTAATAAACTAATTGAAAATACGATAATATAGTTAAGTAAGTTTTATTTAATAATGTTTTTATAAATATTAAGTTTTTGATTAGCGTTTTGGGTAACTTGCTGTGTATCTTTCGCTAGCTGCTCACTTACGAAAAGTTATGTTTAGCTCTGTGTTTAACTTAGCATTTTTTGAAGCCATAAAAATAAATAACAAAATATAGATATTTTTATCGACAAATTTGTAGACCAAATGATGCGATAATTTATAATTAATTACAATATAAATGTATTTACGAGACCAACAAGTGGTTCACCTTATGATACATTCAAACATATAAAACACATATTAAAACATATATTTGTGTTAAAAATATATATTTGATTATAAATTACATGATAAGTGAGAGATCGCCATAACTTTGAACGTCAATATCTCATGCATTCATTAATAACAATAATAAATAAGTTTTTATTGTATTTTCAAAATTGTTTTGTTGTGTGCATTGAGTTGTGTTGAGTCGTGTTGTGTTAAATAGCAGTGAGAGTTGTAATCGTGAAAAACAGTATTGAAAAAAAAGCGACATAAAAAAAGACCACGGTATTTACGCTCGCTTTCCGCACAAAGCATTGAGTTAACATAGAGAGTATACTACATTTTTGATCCGTAAGTAAGTATTTTGTTTTGCCATTTCAATGCATAACACAAACATTGAATGCAACGCAAAAGTATAGCAATTTTTTTGTAGTATAGCGTTATTTGTGTCGTACTGTTGTATCGTATCGGCAACCGAGCGATTCATTGGGTATTTCACTGTATTGTGGGCTCTAATGACAAGCAGAGGTGCCTTAAGGGACAGTTGACTGAAGGCAAAGGCACCGGGACTTTACCCAAACACCATTCACTGGGACTCCCCTTACATGACGCGAGCGAAGGCCGACTCTTCACCACATGAATGAGTCGATCGCAGTGTTTGTGTGCATTGCCTGCCAATGCCTACCAGTGCTGCACTCGTACTGCTAAACAATGTTAGATCATTCATGTATTGTTCAGCTCAACTGCAATACAATTATATACACATCTTATGACTGGCTTTAATCAGGTTTTACAGAATCGGGGAAATAATAATCATTTTATTCATTGAATAATACTTTGTTTTGTTTATGAAATGCAATATTGAATTATAAATGATTTGTCACTTTCCGCACATCAAAACGTATCACTCATTCACTAAATATTTAGCTATTTATACACCAATTGTTAACTCAATTCATTATTTGTCAACAAATTTTTTCTAAACACATTATTTTTCTCAAAGGAATTGTTTGGATAAACATGTTTCACATTTTGATTGCAATAAATTTCTTTTTAAATAAATTATTTGTTATTTAGTTATGAAAATGAATTAATTTTTTCCAAATGAAGTTTTCAATTCTTGACTCTTTTGTGATTTGTATTACTGTTGAATTGTATACAAGAATTCATTTATATTATAATATGTATGTATAATAAATAGTTTAGAAAATCAATTCAATTAATAATACATGTGTTCGTGAATGAGAAATCTTATGTGAGTTATTATGAGAAATTCAAGTTAAGCCTAAATTATCTAATATAACACTTTTATGTTTTATGAGTTTTTAAAGCATTAATTTAAGTGCAAATCAAATTGTGAATCCTATCAAATACAATATACAGTATACAGAATATTAAGTGATATCATAGCAGTTATTTTGAAGGCAAAGTATTGTAATTTACTACTTAAAAGCATTGGATG